TTAAGGTGTAACCTTTACGCTTAGGAAAGCCTGTCTTATCAACGAGGTTAAGAGGTAGCACGTGAAAGCAAGCTGCTGTGGAAGGTATTGATCACAGACTTTGAAGACCCTCAAAACTGCAGTGCTGGCATACCTTAAAACTAATTGTGCCTAAAGGGATTTTTGAATGAGAATCAGTAGGAAGTGATGGCGATAAATTGCCTCTGTAAACACAGTAATACAACAGCGAATTCTTTCCTACTTCTCATCCACTCACTGGACAGAGACGGAGGACTCTGGGTGAAGGTATCAATAAACGAAAAGGGAGAACATAATTTGTTGTGGTCCCCGAAACTGGGAAAATATCGCACAACGCCACTGCTGACACCAACAGGTGTTAGATCCGTTGAAATTAAGAACCGCATTTATCGTTCAGCGATATCATGGGAATTGGAGAAAAATTTTAAAATAAACATGATTAAATTAAGTAACAATTTACAATTTTTCAACTTCAGCAAACCATGGCACTAAAGATTTCAAATCCATAATCAACTTAAATCTGAAACTGTTAAAAATTTTAAATTTAATAATGCTTTTGTATCTTGTGTTGATTTTTGGTCAGCGATCAGGTGGATCAAAGCGAATAGCGGCTAAACGATTAACGCATCAGACAGCATGACTGTGTCTCTCACGCTTTGGCACGATCACACAGCTACACCATGCAATTTCTACCATTGGTGGATCAGCGACGTGACAGCCATTTTTCGACCAGTTCCATCGAAGCATAATGGAATGAATACGTCGCCCAGAGAAATTAGCAATTAAGAAGAAAAAGTTCACACGCGCCTTGGGTTTGAACCTGCACCCTAATATGAAATATAACCCCTCTTCTACTGCATCCCCCTCCATTTAAGATTAAACTTTTGAAACTTCAGCAAAATCACCAAGAATAGTGTACTTTGTCATGAAAGAATGTCACAGATGACATAGAGACAACATGAGCGAATGATTAGAGGAAGACGGGTTATCAACAAGGATTCAAGGAAATGACAAAACACGGAACAACTGATGCAAGACGAGAAAACACGAAGGGAAACGTTGTACATTAGCATGCATGCGCAATGCTGTCTAACTGCGTCTGAGTCTGAGTGGTTGAACAGACGTGCAGGGGTTAAGATGATTTCTTTGCAGCAAAGCTTAATGGTTTCCTGTAGATGGAGACGAATGAGGGTAGGTCCAATCAAAGACACAAAAAATATTGTTGGCCGTGTGCTACTGCGAGAACAGTAAACCGCAACCTGCTTAGAGGCTTCTCTGGGTGGTTTGACGCAAGTGATAAAGTGTGCATTTGCATCGTAAAAATTCAAACAGGCGATTAAAATATATGTTGACCGATGGTATCAAAAAATAACCTTCCACCAACATATGGTCGATTACATTACTGTTTGGAGTAATCCAAAATTTGAGACTGTTTAGAAAAAAGTCATTGCGTCGCGAAACTGCTGCAATGAACATCTGAAAACTTGTGATCATCTTCTGGCAGATCGAGAGCACTGTGCATAGCAATCGTTAGTCGTCATGATGGTTCATGCAACGACAAAGTTGTAGCCATACCTTAGTCAATAACAACATAATATACTCAATAATGTCACTGCAAGATACATGCAAATGTCTCTGCCCCGGGTGAAGAGAAAAGAATGGAAAAAAGCATTGATTACTCACTTAACGTGCATGATAAAGTCAGGGCCTACAATGACACCAGTTGGTTTAAGATGTTCTATGTGCTTCAGCGTCTCGAAGGGAAGAGAAGGTCCAAAAAACTCAATCGCCCTCGTGGAACATCAACTGGCGCTTGAATTTTGGAATAATGAACGTCACAGATCAGCTAAGATACTTCTGAGGCTTTGGTTAGAGTTCACTGATACAGAAATACAGTTAGGCATTTCTCATAACATATTAACGACAACTTTAAAGTACACATTTTACTCATTTCCTGGCCACGTAATGTCGCCACTCTATTGTTGCGCACGAAATGATTTCCTATTTGTAGGTTAATGTTTAATGGTTTGACGAAAAATGTGATTTTCAGCTCAAGGTTCGTTAATGTATCAAAATGTCGTGTTTTGTATAAAGACAATAGGGCATGGTGAGTTTTTGCGGGACTGACCTGCAAATCATTCATTTAATCAATGGCAATCCGCAATATGGGACTATCGAGGACTAAAATGCAAATCCATTTGAAATTTACATGGGCTGGTGATGGTTGTGGAAATGAAGCTAACTGAGCATACTGTAATTCTATATTTGATGCTTGACTTTTCATTACAGACAAATCATTAACTTCCTGTGAAGCATACAGTAACACACTTTTTACTCCAGCTGCTAAATCAGATGGTAGATTAAAATATTCTGAACCAGATGGACCACGAAAGAGACAGAGTTAAATATTCGCGTTTTATCAAGATCATTAAAATAGAGTGAGACGATATGAAATTGTGCACCATTCTGCTTATAAAGTCGAATGTTTTATAAAGGGCAGCATTCCACTATACCGCATCTAACGTCACAGATATCATTAATCCAGGTATTCCATCGGTGACCCTGGTACCCAGATGACGATGAGAACATCAACATGTAGCAAAACTTCCTCAGTGTTGAATTTCCTTACTTTAAACACGGTGGTTCGTGCAAATGGCGAACGGTAATTCCTTCTAGTTCATGGTGATTCTTTGATTTGTTCAAACGGCGAAGAGGGATATAGCAGATGTCCGCCAAATTGAACTCCCGCAAAATAAGGACTTTGAGCGAAACCGTTAACTTACATTGGCTGTTCAATTGTAACTTACATTAGATAATACTTGAGCATCGCAATGAAACTGTAGCGTTTGTACTACAGCAGATATCTATCCATTATAGAAACTGTTTCATATTTATTTAAGTTGTAAAAATTTCAGCTTACATATATACCTGAATCGCGTTTAGTACTTGAGGCTTCTGTCTGTTAAATAGCTGAGGAGTAAGAAGCGGTGTTTCTCTGTTGCTCACAAACTTTACTAAGACAGATGCGACTTAGAATATTCGATGCAGCACATCTGCGGACACAAATGAAGCAGTAATGTGTATTTATGGAAACTCCTTAAATTATTATTTTCTCACAGAAGTTGAGTTCATGTGTTAAGCATAATTCAAAATAAGGCTTCGCATATCAAACTGCTGCATAGTGTACGAAAGGCTTATAAACCAAAATTTAAGTGACGATGACAAACAAAGTATTGCCCTAATTTCTAAAATGATTAAAAATATAAGTGCAAGTTCTTGAATAGTCTGTTGGAAAACTATGAGCAAGGACGACGTGTGATACT